GCATGTCAGGCTGAATACATTACACATAAGTCACTTGGCTGCTGTGTTAATATATTGACTTAGTTCCTGAGAATCAGTCTTCTAGATTTCAGCACAACTGCCAACTCATTACCCCCCCTAAAAAAAGGGAAGTGGAAGAACTGGGGGTTTCAGCTGCTTAATGCAACAGCCTGTGCTGTGTTTGTGTGCACCCTTCTCCACTCTTACTCCCTACATTTGCATCTATATATCATGGGGAAATTGTATGATCCAGATGTGTGCAGCTAGGTTTTCCCGCAGAGACAAGACCAGTTGCAAATGTCTGCGGCAGCGCAACAGCAGCATCAGTATATTGAATTCTCAACATGGACCCATCTATAGATATCTAAATCTGGAGACTGGGAACATTATCAGACAAGAGAGATCTTTCCTCAAAAAAGCCCCATGTTTGCAGAGAAATCTGAAATAGGGGGCTTAAAAAACCCCAAAATGATTGAAGCAGCGCCTGTTGCTTTAAGAAACAAATACACTCAGTGGTTGTTTTGAGGCAGCAGTATTGCCAGTCTTCAAACGTTGGTTTATATCCATAAAAGGGGAAGGGGCAAGGCCTTTTCCAGGGTTGTTTCGGCCTTAGAGAGAGAACGAATTGAGGACAGGCTTCGCAGCAACCCCAGACAAATTGCATGACTTGTGCTCTGTGATGTAGCAGGCCCCGCCCCAGTGGTGAAGTGTCCCAGCTCCAGTGACAAAGTTTCTGGAACAATTGTGGGGTGACATGATAAAGGTTTACAAAATTATGCATGGGACAGAGAAGGTAGAAAAAGAAGTACTTTTCTCCCTTCCTCACAATACAAGAACTCGTGGGCACTCGCTCAATGAAATTAGCGAGCAGTAGATTTAGAACAGATAAAAGGAAGTAGTTCTTCACCCAAAGAATAATTCACATGTGGAATTCACTGCCGCAGGAAGTGGCAGTGGCTATAAGCATAGACAGTTTCAAGAGGGGATTGGATAAACCTATGGAGCCGAGGTCCGTGAGTGGCTATTGGCCACAAGTATAGACAGACCACTATGTGTGGGGCAGTGATGCTCTGTATTCTTGGTGCTTGGGGGGCAACAGTGGGAGGGCTTTTGGAGTTCTGGCCCCTCTGGTGGACCTCCTGATGGCACCTTGGTTTTGGCCACTGTGTGACACAGAGTGTTTGACTGCATGGTCCATTGGCCTGATCCAACATGGCTTCTCTTATGTTCTGATGACACACCTAGGCCTTCCTACTTGCTGCTGTTCAACATCAGCCACCCCACAAATGCCACACAAAAAAAATGACCCTTCATTATATCAGGACCAGGCAATTAGCTGTGATACTTTTGCAAAGTTTTTTGCTGGTAACATGTCAAGAATGCACTCTGATTTAGATGCTGACCGTCCAACAGAAGAATTGCCTAATATACCGCATATTCTATTGATGGACCACTTTGATGCAGTATTCATGATGTAGTTGACAAGCTCCTGGGATCTGTGAAGGCCACTACTTGTGCCTTGGATCCTTGCTCATCTTGGCTTCTAAAATTATGTAAAGACCATACTAACAAATCCTTACTATCTATTATAAATCAGTCCCTAACTTAGGCCACCTTAGGGCACCTGAGAGCCAGTTGGGTGTAGTGGTTAAGTGCGCGGACTCTAATCTGGGAGAACCGGGTTTGATTCCCTACTCCTCCACTCACACCTACTGGATGACCTTGGGCAAGCCATAGTTCTGACAAGAGCTGTTCTTGAAAAACAAGCAGTTTCTGTCAGAGCTCTCTCAGCCCCGCCTACCTCACAGGGTGTCTGTTGTGGGGAGGGGAAGGGAAAGGAGTTTGTAAATCGCTCTGAGACACCTTTGGGTAGTGAAGGGTGGGGTATAAATCCAATCTCCTCCTCCTCCTCCTCCTTTTCTTCTTCTTCCCGCCTCGATCACTAGTATTCAGACGGTTACTGCTCTGAACGTGGAGGTTCCCTTTAGTCACCATGGCTAGTAGCCACTTCTTGTGCCTTCCTTCCAGAGAGCCAGTTTGGTGTAGTGGTTAGGAGTGTGGACTCTAATCTGGGAGAACCGAGTTTGATTCCCCACTCCTCCACATGCAGCTGCTGGCATGACCTTGGGTCAGTTACAAGTTTTTTCAGAGCTGTCCTCTGAGGAGCAGTTCTCGGGAGGGCTCTCTCAGCCCCACCTACCTCACAGGGTGTCTGTTATGAGGAGGGGAAGGGAAAGGAGATTATAAGCCGCTCTGAGACTCCTTCGGGCAGGGCTATTTTTGGACAGGAATGCACATGAACAGAGTTGCCCCTGGCTTCAGAGTTGGCCACACCCACTACACCAAAACCTCTGCGAGTGTGGCTACAAAGGGAAGGCATGGAGAACGACACACACACCCCAGCAACTCTGAGGGGGCAGGCCAGGGGGGCCCTGGAAGGATCAGGGAGGCATTTAAATGCCTCCCCGTGCCTTTCCCGGCCTGTCCAAGGGCCAGCTTGCCCGGGCCTTCCCTTCCCTTCGAGGGGGGGCTTGCCTGGGCTCCCTGCAGCCGCAGAGCACCCGGACAAGCCAAGGGAAGGCAGTTTAAACTGCCTCCCCTCCCCTCCAAGGGCCGGCTTGCCCGAGCTCCCCGCAGCTGCAGTGCATGGGGTGTGGCCTAATATGCTAATGAGCTGTGCTGTCAAGGTGTGGCCTAATATGCTAATGAGCTGCACTGTCAGGGTGTGGCCTAATATGCTAATGCGTTTCTGATCTTATGCTAATTAGTTCCTGCAGGGCTTTTTCTACAAAAAAAAAAAAAAAAGCCCTGGTTCAAACTATCACACAATTGCACTCATTTCACACACTAGCAAGGTAATGCCAAAAATCCTACAAGCTGCATATCATCTGTGCAATTGGGGCCAGATAGTTAAAATGTATGATAAATGAACCATTCCTTCCAGCAAAGGAACTTGTGGAAATCACTGGCACGAGGTATGCTGATGCCCACTAGCTTAGGCTGCGATCACATGTGCCTTTAGATTCAACATAGGTGCAAATACCTGATGGGATCTAAAGGGAACGATCGGACAGCGACATCTGGGAAGTCATCGGCAACCCGTGCTGCTCCACCGCAGAAGCGGAGTTAAAAGACACCAGAGAAAGCCCGGTAGTAAATGGGTTCCAACGGGCCAAAAATGGACTTTCCCCTGTCTGATCGCTCAAGCACACTCTCAAGCCGTCGGGTTGGTCTGATCAGGCCATCCCGGCTCAGTGCCGTTATTCCCCCCCCCCCCTTCACAGTATGCGCATGATCACAAACTCCATAGGGAGCCCTCAGCGCAGAGGTGTGATTCCTCGATTCCTCTAAGCGCATGGGAAACAAATGGCAAAAAAGAACAACAACAATGACGGGCTGATTGGCTCTTTGGAGACTTCCTGCTCCAACTGAGCCCTCCCCCTTCCTTCCTGCCTCTCACAGCAGTTAGTCAGTTAGTTAAGCCTCTCTCCCTCTCCTGTCAGAGTCTATTTCTTCCATTTCTTCCATTTCTTCTTCTATTTCCTCCAGAGGAAATAGCCTCGCTTCCCCTCTGCTCCAGCTGGCCCGTGTGACCACAGCCTTAGATGGCTTTTTCAAAAAGGTTAGACAAATCCATGACACTTAGATCTATGGATGGCTATTAACCACAATACCACAATTCAGTAGGTGGTGGGGGAAAGATGGTGGGTGGCACATTCTGAGTATGTACTGGTTTAGCTTACCGGCCTCAAGTTGCAGCCTGGAGTTCTCCTGGAAGAATTTACAACTGATCTCCCTATAGCAAAGATCTGTGTGTCTCTGGAGGAGATGGCCCCTGCCTCTGTGGCCTCATATTCCCCCCAAGCTCCCTCCCCTCTCCAAAATCCACACACCCCTCTCCGGCCCAGGTTTCCCATTATCCTGTAGCAGCTGCAATTTAGGAGCAGGCCTGTGAAAACGCTGGAATGAATGAGCCATTGAAGATTCTCACGGTTGGGCTGTAAGAATGATCTTTGCAAAGGAAACCAAAGGTGGGGATTCTGATACCAATTTACTCTGCCAGGATAGCCCTGGTGCGGAAGCACATCTCTACTGATGAACTGGCCACACCAAAGCGTATTTGAAGACTTAAACTTTGACTCTGGGTCAATGTTCCCTCTAAGCTGTGGAGTCTTGTAGGCAAAAATTCTACTTTGTGAGCTCCTGGCATTAAAGTTGTGAGCAAGCGATTTGGCTACTGCATAAATTAGTTTGCCGTGGAGCCATCCTTCCTGAGCTAAGACAAAAATGTGTGAGCCAGAGGCTAAAAATCTGCGAACTAGCTCACACTAACTCAGCTTAGAGGGAACACTGCTCTGGGTATTATTTACCAGCCTCAGACGGCTGTGTTCTTGTTATCTCCATGTGAGATGGGTGGAGCTCACTGGAATTAGTATGGAAATGGCTCCCTCGGCCTTCAGCACTTGCCTCCAGGCCTGATCACACAGACATGCTGCTGTGTTCAATTTGGCATAATTACATGACAATTGCATAATATTATCCACTCTGGGTTTACATTCACTATGAGCCCAAAATCAGCAAATCAGTTGGATGGCTTCCGGGTCGGCATGCGTCTGCACGCTGAAGCACCTACCGTTACGTTCCCCAAGTCCGTCTGCACCCATCCAGGGTGTAATGCGATGCACAGGATCCCATCTTCTGCAAATCCCAGGCCCTGGCACCGGCTGAGCATGTTCAGAGCGGCCTAGAGGGAGACATGCCGGAAACAAGGCGATGCATTGAATTCAGTGCTTAATCTAGCTCACTGGAATTAGTATGGAAATGGCTCCCTCGGCCTTCAGCACTTGCCTCCAGGCCTGATCACACAGACATGCTGCTGTGTTCAATTTGGCATAATTACATGACAATTGCATAATATTATCCACTCTGGGTTTACATTCACTATGAGCCCAAAATCAGCAAATCAGTTGGATGGCTTCCGGGTCGGCATGCGTCTGCACGCTGAAGCACCTACCGTTACGTTCCCCAAGTCCGTCTGCACCCATCCAGGGTGCAATGCGATGCACAGGATCCCATCTTCTGCAAATCCCAGGCCCTGGCACCGGCTGAGCATGTTCAGAGCGGCCTAGACATGCCGGAAACAAGGAGATGCATTGAACTCAGTGCTTAATCCTAAGGACATGAACTGAACTAAGGCTTCCAGCTTCCCTACCTTACTGCAGCGGTAATTAGTTATCTGCCCACGAATCCACCCGTCGACATTAGCGATGGAGCCTCCTTCACTGGACACGTTGACAATGGCGGCTTTGCTGCAGCTCAGGCCTTTCTGGGGGCTTTCCTGAGACGCCTTCCTCAGCAAGGGCAGGAAAGCCTGGAAGTAGAGAAGGAAGAATCATAAATGCAACAGCCTGCGGGGAGGCCAGGGCAGCTCTTCACTAGTGTGGAAGCCCCAGCAGTCACTCGTCTCCCGGATGGCCCTGTGCTCTCATGGCCTTATTCTCAAGATGGTAGTCATTTGTGATCCTGGTTCAATGGGTACAGTTTCCCCCTTCATCGCCTCCCCTGGTGCACCGGTTGAATTTCTGTTCTGTTATGCTGCTGTTCAGAGGTAATTTCGGGGGGGAACGCGGGGGAACGCAGTTCCCCCGGGTGAGGTGCAGGGGGGCGGGGCACATGATGAAGCCCCGCCCCCTGCTTCCGGCCGCCCCGCTTCCAGTCCTCATTCAGCCAGGAGGAGGCAGGAGAAGAGGGAGGGTAAGTTGCTTCCTCCCCGCCTCTCCCCACCCCTGCCTGCCTGGGTCCAGGGAGGGCCTTGGCGGGGCTTCCTCGCACTCCCTGGCCTAGCAGATCCACAGCCGGGCCCCTGATGTCAGGGGGTGTGGCATATGCTAATGAGTTATGCTAATGAGTTCCCCTAGCTCTTTTTCTACGAAATGACCCCTGCTGCTGTTAACATGGCAACAGAAACTTTGCCTGGGCAAACAGGCGGCTTTGAACCACCAAGAAGCACTGGGGTAAACCCGATTATCCCCCATGTAGTCTTCCTCCAGCCAAAAGAGCCTTCAGTTCTCCTTCAGCAGAAGATCCACTTTTTCTGGAGAAAGGCTCCTTAGACTGGAGAAAGGCTTCCAACATGAGCCAGGAGGAAAGGTGTGATATGAATTCTTTAACGAATAAAGTAACACACTTTACTCATTGGAGTGGTGGGATTCGGGCAGGATCCACCCCACTGTTGCAAAGCCATATGCAGTGTAATCCTAAGCAGAGTTACACTGTTCTGAGACCATTGGCTGCAATGGACTTAGAAAGGTGTAACTGTGGTTAGGGCTGCACTGTTAGTCTGCAGATGTTAGGGCTTTTGAAAATGATTAGGAGAAGAGGCCCCGAGACTTCCTTACCTGGCTCACCAGCATGGGCCCTATCACATTGGTTTTGTACACTTCGGCCATGTCCTCTGCCGTCTCCGATTCGAGAGTGCTTCCCTTTACGGTCCCAGCATTGTTGATCAGGAGATTCAGCCCGGCTCCTTGCAGGAGTTCAGTAACTTTGGCAGCAGCTGTCTTGATGCTGGACAGATCATTAATATCTACAGCAGCAAAGGTTTACAGGTAACTAAACTTGAGTCACCATCAGCTTTGGAGCATTTCTGCAGACACACACATTCCCAACCCCAGTGCAACTGCCTTTAGAGCATGCACTCTTGTTACTGTCACAGGACAGAGAACTAAGGTTCTCGTCATGCAGTGCACTGATTTATCCACGCACATCAAATATTCTGTGCATAAAAATATGGAATATGTAACGTAAATGGGTATAATAAGAGCATTATTGAAGTGCAAACTCATTAGTGGCCATCAGAGTCATGGATGCTGGTGCGCCGTCCCCTTCGAAATTGCAAATGAGGCACAGGAGTTTATTGCCTGGGCAGCTAATTGCCTCAGTCAGAAAATTACAAAGTGTTTTCCTTGGATAATGACAAATACAGAAGGAACGGAGCTGCTCTAGACCCACAGAATTACAGAGCTGGAAGGGGCCATCTAGGCCATCTAGTCCAACTCCCTGCTCAATGCAGGATCAGCCTAGCCTTGAGCATCCCTGAAAAGTGTTTGTCCAGCCACTGCTTAAAGCCAGTGAGAGGGAGCTCCCCACCTCCCCAGGAAGCTGATTCCACTGTTGTACAACTCTTACTGTAAAAACATTTTTCCTGATTTCCAGTCGGTACCTTCCTGCCCTTAATTTAAACCCATTTGTGTGAGTCCTATCCTCTGCTCCAACAGGAACAGCTCCCTGCCCTCCTCTAAGTAATTAAAGGTTTCCCTTGCTCGAAAGCCAGTCGAATCCAACTCTAGGGGTGCGATGCTCATCTCCATTTCCAAGCTGAAGAGCCAGCGCTGTCCGAAGATATTTCCGTGGTCATGTGGCCAGCATGACTAGATGCCAAGGTGCACAGAACACTGTTACCTTCCCATCAAAGCGATACCTATTTACAGGGGTCATTTCCTGCGGGAGTGCACAGGAGCGGAGCTCCGGCAGTAAGGAGCCCGGGGGCGGGGCATATCCAACAAGCCCCGCCCCCTGCTCCCAGCAGCCCTCAGTCAGGCCATGAGGAGCAAGAAGCAGCCAGGTAAGTTGTAGAGGCCCCCCCCCCAGCCCGCCTTCAGGTACAAGCTCTTCCTCCTCTGCGAGGACAGATCTGCGCATTCCCCCCCCCACAATAGCTAGCAATCCAAAACTGTCCAGTGAAGCCTGAGCGGTGGGTGTTGCCTTCTGACAAACTTCCAGTGATGTCAGGGGGTGTGGCATATGCAAACAAATGCTAATAAGTTATGCTAATGAGCTCCTGCACATCTTTTTCTACGAAATGACCCCTGCCTATTTATCTACTTGCAATTTCTTGCTTTTGAACTGCTAGGTTGGCAGGAGCTGGGACCAGAAACAGGCACTCAGTCCAACATGCAGCCCTCGGGTCTCGAACTGCTGAACTACTGACCTTCCAGTCTGCAGTTCAGTGTCTTAACCACTGAGCTACCGCAGCCCCTTCCTCTAAGTAACAGCCCCTCAAATACTTAAAGAGAGCAATCAAGTCCCCCCTCAACCTCCTCTCCTCCAGACTGAACATCCCCAAGTCCCTCAGCCTTTCCTCATAGGGCTTGGTCTCTTAATAGTGAGGTGAGAAGTAGCTCAGACAGTCAGGGGCTATAATGCAAAGTCTGACCAAATAATATCAATCAGACTTCATGGAGAGCCTATCAATATAATGATCATTCAAGTTTATGCCCCAACTTCAGATGCTGATAAGGAAGAAATCAAAAGCTTTGATGACAGTGTCCAGGAAGAAATTGATCACACACCTAACCAAGATGTGCTGACAATTATAGGTGACGAGAACACAAAGGTAGGAAACTAAGCATAATCAAATATTGTTGAAAGATTTGGGATAGCAGCACAAAATGAAGCAGGAGAGTCACAGAATTCTGTGAGGACAACAATTTGTTCATTGTAAACACACGCTTCAGGCAACCAAACAGAAGATTGTATGCGTGGACATCACCAGACAGCCAATATAGAAATCAAATAGATTACATAATCAGAAGCAGAAGTTGAAGAAGCTCTATTTTTCCAATTGTGGTGCAGATCATGAATGGTTAATATTGAAAATTAAAATAAAGCTGAAGAAAAACACCAAAACACTCATGATGCCAAAATATAATCTAAGCAACATGCCTGAAGAGTTTAAAAACCATGTAAAGAACAGAAGCAGCCAGGTAAGTTGCAGAGCCCCCCCCCCAGTCCAAAACAGTCCAGTGGCACCTTTAAGACCAAGTTTTATTCAGGTACAAGCTCTCCCTCCTCTGTGAGGACAGATCTGCACGTTTCCCCCCCCCCCAAAAAAAATAGCTAGCAATCCAAAACAGTCCAGTGGAGCCTGAGCGGTGGGTGTTGCCTTCTGACACACTTCTGGTGATGTCAGGGGGTGTGGCATATGCAAATGAGTTATGCTAATAAGCTCCTGCACTTCTTTTTCTATGAAATGACCCCTGGCCCTGTGCATGTAAACAGCAACATAGTGATCTTGTGGAATGGCCCTGAATCTGCAGGAAGAGGGCATTTGAGTGGCCCATCACTTACCCATTGGGAGGATTTTGACACACTGATATTTGGCAGCCAAGCTCTTCAAGTCCTGAAAGAGACCAAATGGAGAGACTTGTGATACAAGAGCAAGACTGGGGCTGAGAGCTCTGAGAGAACGGCTCATGAGAGAACAGCTCTGAAAGAACTTGTGACTGACCCAAGGTCTCACCAGCAGCTGCATGTGAAGGAGTGGGGGATCAAACCCAGTTCTCCCAGTTTAGAGTCCGCGCTCCTAACCCCTACACCAAACTGGCAAAAATGCCCTGCGACTGGGTAAGTGTGCCAGCCTCACCAAAGATCTTGAAGCTCCAACCCACTGGGCAGAATATCTTCAGCATTCAGTTACATCCCCTGGTTGCACACCTGTCCCAATGTACCCCTACCATGGCTCTCACCTGAGCACGTGGTCCCTCTGGGTCCCGGCAGGTGGCAAAGACCCATTCTGGCCCCTTGCTTTTCCCTGCCAGTTGCCGGACCAGCTCCAAGCCAATTCCTCGGTTGGATCCTGTCACCAGGACGCTGCGCACATTTAGCATTGTGGTGTCGTGCCTGCCGTTCTCTGACTAGCAAAGCCAAAGATCAGCCAGCAAAATATAGTCCCCTCCTGGATTTGCATAATACATGTGACTGCTATGTCAACATGTATAATGACATTGGGTTTATTGCTGGAAACTGCCTTCAGCCGCCTATATTGTTACAGCTGCGCAAGCCATTTCAGAAGAAGAAGAATTAGGAATTTCAGCTCCTTGATAACAGTGGCAGCCTGTGCTAATTGTGTTTTTGATATGTACCCATCTCTGCTCTTCCTGTCTAAGTCTGCATCCATATCCATATGTCATGATCCAAATGTTCACAACTGGGTTTTCCTGCAAAGACAATATCAGTTACAAATGACTGTGGCAGCACAACACTGGCATCAGCATATCTGCTAGTTCTCAATATGGCCCCATCTATGGATACTTAAATCTGGAGACTGGGGCCAATGGTAGCCAGGAGGAGAGAAATAATGTGGGGAGAGGGATACAGGGGAAAGTAAGATGCTCTCCGCAAGGCCTTGTAGGTTTCCCCACTGTGCAATACCCCACAATTAGAAGCACCTTGCATTTTTTTTCTTGCGGCACTAGTTGAATGAGCATTAACTAAAAATTATTTTTCTTTCAATAATATTTCCCCTCCGCAGGTTCAGGGTATTCCATAGTGTGTTTTATGTCACCAAAGACTGATAATTTATATATGGGCAGTTTTGAAGATAAATTTGTATATTCAGAGATAAATCCTTTTCAAAACTTTATTTACATACGGCAGAGATATATTGATTTTTTAAAGAATATGGAAAGGCAGTTGTACCCCATTGCAAGAATTTCATGGGTAGCTTGACATTCAGGATAATAATATCAAATCTGAAATGCATTTCAATGAACATCACATCAGTTTCCTGGATGTCATTATTAATAAAAAGGGTAATATGATTCGGACAAATATATACACAAAAACTACAGAGTTTACTTTTAAAGATTTGACAGTTTTCACCTGGTTTATATAAAAAATAATTTACTTTATAGTCAGTTTTTGAGCAGGAGGAGGAGGAGCTGTACAGAAACTGAAGATTATAAAAGTGAGACAAGGACATTAAAATAAAATCTTGCCTTCAGGTCTTACCTGGACAACATCTTACAAACAGCATATGAGAAGGCCACACTTTGTAGAAGAGATTTACTGTTCAATAACAAAAGAGCAAGTCTCAAAGTGAGAGAATTACAATCAGTTTGACATAATCACAACAGTATGCAATTTAAAAAGAACATATATAAAAACTGGAACACGCTCTATGATGTTATGCTTTGTGAGAAAAAAAAATCTCTTTTAAAAGAACATCTTACTTAAAAGACAAGCTGGTTCATAGTGTTGGACAAGGCAATGTCTCCTGTACAAAGAAGAAGAGAAGAAGACCTGCAGGGGGCAGCAAGAAGACAATTAGATAGTGAGGTCAGCACCTTCTCTCTTTTTAAATGTCATTCCTTGTCTGTCTCCAGACTGCTACTTTCAGGGCACTTTCCCCCTTCTCAGAAGTACCACACTCAATTTTACCCTCTCTCTCAGCTAGAGTTGTAGTTAGGAACCTTTCTCTGTCTCTCCTCTTTCCTATCAAGTATATTCATTCCTAAATAAACCTTTATCTACTCTTTAATCAGGTTGTGCACTGTTGCTGTGTTAATTACTCTGCCAACACACAGTGATGCTTTTGTTCCCATGAAATTTCAACGAATCATGTCAGGATCAGGTTTGCCTAAAGACCACTTTAAATGTGGACACTGTAAGTGTGGTAACCTAACTGAAAACATAAAAAGTTTCATTAACCCCTTCAACCAAAAAATTTCAGACGGGGTTATTTATGCCATCACATCTTCTTGCAGTAAAGTATATGTAGGGAAGACCTCTAGAAAATTAAAAATACAAATAGCTGAACATAGAAGCAATATACTTTGCTGAACAGTTGGTTCCCCTTTGATACAGCATTTTATTCAAAACGAACATAGACACACCCACTGATTTCATTTTTGGTGGTTTATATAAATCATATAATCATAATGAAAAGATCTTGTTAAAAAAGGAAGGTCAAATGGATTCTAAGATTATAGACTCTGGCACCTCGTGGGTTAAACTCTGACCTGGGAGTTTTGGCCTTGCTCAACAAAATTCTTAAAAAATGCTACATCATTCTTCACTCAGTATTAAAACAAATTGATCAGCAAATAAAAGTTAATTGCTCAGCAAAAATCTTTTAAAATGCTGTGTCATTCTCCACTGAGTAATAAAAGTTAATTGCTCAGCAAAATTCTTTTTAAAATGCTGCATCATTCTTCACTCAGTAATAAAAACAAATTGATCAGCAAATAAAAGTTAATTGCTCAGCAAAAATCTTTTAAAATGCTGTGTCATTCTCCACTCAGTAATAAAAGTTAATTGCTCAGCAAAATTCTTTTTAAAATGCTGCATCATTCTTCACTCAGTAATAAAAACAAATTGATCAGCAAATAAAAGTTAATTGCTCAGCAAAAATCTTTTAAAATGCTGTGTCATTCTCCACTCAGTAATAAAAGTTAATTGCTCAGCAAAATTCTTTTTAAAATGCTGCATCATTCTTCACTCAGTAATTAAAACAAATTGATCAGCAAATAAAAGTTAATTGCTCAGCAAAAATCTTTTAAAATGCTGTGTCATTCTCCACTCAGTAATAAAAGTTAATTGCTCAGCAAAATTCTTTTTAAAATGCTGCATCATTCTTCACTCAGTAATAAAAACAAATTGATCAGCAAATAAAAGTTAATTGCTCAGCAAAAATCTTTTAAAATGCTGTGTCATTCTCCACTCAGTAATAAAAGTTAATTGCTCAGCAAAATTCTTTTTAATTTTTTTTATTTTCTCAGAAAAAAGATGGGATACAGAAGGGGAAGGGGATGGGGGACTCAGCAAAATCATTCTCCGCTAAGTAATAAAACTTTAACCAAAATCTTTAAAAATGCTGCATCATTCTCTCTCTCTTTTTAAAGATTTTATTGTGTATTTATACACTACATCCTATAGGGTAAGGGCATGGGAAAACACTAAAACTAAAACAAAAGCTAAATAAGAAAAGGATCAAATTACATTTAAAGGATACATTATAAATACAACATTCCCACAATGGAAGAAAAAGCTCAAATCCAAGTTTATTACATTCTAATGAGCTAGCTTAAGTCTTTAATAATAGACATTCCGTGGACTACAAACTATTATATTTCAGTTCATTTATCAAGTTTCCTCTTCTTGTATTTCAGCTTAACTTTAAGTTGCTTCGGGGATGCCTTCTCCTTTTTCTGAGTCAGAGATCTCAGGTGATGTGGCCGAAGTGCTTGAAGTATCTTGTGATTCATATTCGCTTTCTTCTTCTTCTTGGATATTATCCCATTTCTTTTTCCCTTTTTTCTCCGGATTTTGTTGCTGTTCCAGAAAATCTTTAACTTTCTGTACAGTCAATTTTAATTTTCTTATCTTTGTATTTGAATATGAGTCCTTCCGGAAATGTCCATCTATAGGGAATTGAGTTGTAGTGGAGAAAAGAAGTTAAGTCTCTATATTGTCTTCTTTGCTTTCTCACCTCAAATGGAATATCTTTTTAAACTTTCACTTCTTCTTCCTTAACTTTCAAAGCTTTTCTAGCAGTTCCTTTTAAGACAGCATCTCTAGTAGATCTCTTAGAAAATTTAACAAATAGTTCACCTGGTAGATTGTTTTTCTTGATGAAATCTGAATATGTCCAGTAGGTCGAGTCCATATCATTCTGTAGTTCTTGTTTGAGATCAGTCATTGGTGCCAAAGTTGTTTAAAATTTTCTCCTTTCTGTTCAGGAATACCTTGAAAGAGCAGCACATACAATGATCTATCCAGTTGAAGCTACAATAGTTGACCTTTATCCAAAATTCTCTTTTTTTCTACTTCTGCCAATCTCTGTTGGGTATTTTTTATTTTTGTCTCAATTTTCTTAATAGCTTTTCCAGAGTTGTCTGTTCTTTTCTCCATACGTGTTAGTTGTTTTTGGACTCCATCCAGTCTGCTGTTGATATTAGCCATCTGTTCCAGCAGAGGGTGCAGTGCCATTGCCAACATATTAGGGAAGTCTGCAGCTGCTTCCAGTGCCTGTGAGGGAGTGGGAGTCGATGGTTGGGCATTTCCTGTAGGAGGTTTCTTTTCAGTCGCCATTTTTCTTCCCCTCCCAGCCATTGTTTACACCAGAAGAAAGTTTTTAAAGTTAAAATGAACCTTCTCTGATTGTTGTACACTTGGAATTGTTTTCCACCTTTCGATCTCCTGGACAGGTTCTCATGGTTACTTACGCTTTTTTCTTTTCGGTTTAGAGTCTAGGAACCGCTTACTTTCAAAGAGACGCGTCCAAGCCGGGAATCACCAAAACCGGAAGCCAAAATGCTGCATCATTCTCCACTCAGATCCATTGCCGAGCATAGGAATGCACAGCAGCTGGGTTGCTTTTGCAGCTTTGTGATGAATAAAGAAATGGGAACCGCTAACTGCCTCCTTGTATCTCAAATGACTTAAGAAGAGCCCTGCTGGATCCGATTAATGGTCCATCTAGTCCAACATTCTGTCTCACGGTGGCCGACCAGTTACCCTTAGTGTTGCCAGCCCCAGGTTGGGAAATACCTGGATATTTTGGGTTGGAGCCTGAGGAAGGTGGGGTTTGGGGAAGGGAAAGACTCCGTGGTATAATGCCATACAGTCCACCTTCCAAAATGGCCATTTTCTCCAGGTGAACTGATCTCTGTTGCCTGGAGATCAATTGTAATCTCAGGAGATCTCCAGCCATTACCTGGAGGTTGGCAAGCCTGGTTGCCCTGGAGTGCCAACAACAGGACACAGAGGCCAAGGCCTTCCCCGGAGGGTGCCTCCTAACTCTGGTATTCATTGATTTACTGCATCTGGATATGGAGGTTCCTTTAGGCACCATGGCTAGTAGCTAGGTTTGTCAACCTCCAGATGGCGGCTGGTGATCTCCTGCTGTTACAATTGATCTCCATGTATTTCCCAACCTGGATCTGGCAACCCTACTAAGTAGCCACTTCTAATGCCTTTCTTCCAGAGGCAGATTACAGAGCTCTGAACTGGGTTTGCTGGATGCAATCAGGAGGTGAGAGTTAAACTTTGACAGAAGCTGCACACCCTCTAATCCATTTTACGTTGAGCTATAAACATCATTTCAGAAATGGATAAAGGAGCCGGAGAACCAGTTTCTTCAGCAGGGGCCTTTGATCTTTCTTCTGATTCTGAATGCCAATAAAACTTGTCAATATTTCAGTATTTGCACAAACATCAGGTTGGCGATTATAATGGTGTTGCTGTGGCCACAGGTGCGGTGGTAGGTTTTTGGGTGTGTACAGGGCTCAACAATAGGGGGAAAGGTTGTTTCAGGTGCACCTTGTTTGATAAACTGCTCCTTGTTTCTAGCTTGATTTACTGCATCTGGATATGGAGGTTCCTTTAGGCACCATGGCTAGTAGCTAGGTTTGTCAACCTCCAGATGGCGGCTGGTGATCTCCTGCTGTTACAATTGATCTCCAGGTATTTCCCAACCTGGATCTGGCAACCCTCCTAAGTAGCCACTTCTAATGCCTTCCTTCCAGAGGCAGATTGCAGAGCTCTGAACTGGGTTTGCTGGATGCAATCAGGAGGTGAGAGTTAAACTTTGACAGAAGCTGCACACCCTCTAATCCATTTTACGTTGAGCTATAAACATCATTTCAGAAATGGATAAAGGAGCCGGAGAACCAGTTTCTTCAGCAGGGGCCTTTGATCTTTCTTCTGATTCTGAATGCCAATAAAACTTGTCAATATTTCAGTATTTGCACAAACATCAGGTTGGCGATTATAATGGTGTTGCTGTGGCCACAGGTGCGGTGGTAGGTTTTTGGGTGTGTACAGGGTTCAACAATAGGGGAAAGGGTTGTTTCAGGTGCACCTTGTTTGACAAACCGCTCCTTGTTTCTAGCTGTATCTGAAGAAGTGAGCAGTAACTCACAAAAGCTCCTGCCCTGCCACAAATGTTGTTAGTTTTTAAGGTGCTGCTGGACTCTCACTCTTTTCTACTGCTACAGACAAACACGGTGACCCACCTCGTTTGATAATTATTTATCAAACGAGGCCCAGAGCTAAACTGAGGGGACTGCTGATTTCTTTGGAGGTCCAAGAAAACAGAGAAAGACAGCGTCCAGAGATGCCCCAGCAGGAGCAGCAGCAGCAGCCGCCATTGAAGATCATACAGGGAAGAAGTAGCCCTGTGCTTCTTTAACTGAGCATTTTGGCCTTTCTCTTTTCCTTGTGTTACTGGGCACTGTTTGCTAGGATTTAGGGTTGCCAACCTCCAGGTAGTGGAATTCCAAAAACAACATCCGTAACAAAAACAATGAAGAGTCAACAAAGATAAGTTGCAAAAATGTTTACTGTAGTAATTTCTGTAGAAAATTTTCTTCTATTACCACTCACACGCCACAAACACTGGGCAATGAACAATTCGTTTCACATGCCACGAATACTGCACAATGAGCAATTCGTTTCACATGGCACAAATACTGCACAATGAACAATTTGTTTCACATGCCAAGAATACTGCACAATGAACAATTCGTTTCACACGCCACGAATACTGCGCAATGAACAATTCGTTTCACAATATTTGCTTTATCTGAGCGTGTAGCAATCCCAATTCTTATCAATCACTACTTATCAACTGAAGGAAACATTCCATGTTGACTCTCTAATAACAGAACCCAAGGTCTTCACAATGTTCTGTTATTAGGGTTCTGTTATTACAGAGTCAATATGGAATGTTTCCTTCAGGAGCTGATAAGTAGTGATTGATAAGAATTAGGATTGCTACACGCTCAGATAAAGCAAATATTGTGAAACGAATTGTTCATTGCACAGTATTCGTGGCGTGTGAGCAATAATAGAAAAAAAATCTACATAAATTACTACAGTAAACATTTTTGCAGCTTATCTTTGTTGACTCTTTGTTGTTTTTGTCACAGATGTTGTTTTTGGAATTCCACTTCCTCCCGTGATCTCTCATTTTTAACGTCCGGGTAGTGCCTGGAGATCTCCTACTGTTACAACTGACCTCCAGGCAACAGAGATCAGTTCACCTGGGGGGGAGGGGAGTGGCCATTTTGAAAGGTGGACTCTGTGGCATTGTACCCCATTGAAGTCCCTCCCCTCCCCCAACCCTCCCCTCCATCTCACCCCCCAAACCTCCGGGTATTTTCCAACCTGGACCTGGCAGCCTTACTGGGCTTTTCCTTTGTTCCGAGTGCCCTTTCTAAGGACACTGAAGAGCCTGTCTCTACAAACGTTACTGTGTTCATAGTCATTAGGATGAACTTTTAACTTTTCCTTGAAAGGCTGTTGGGTTCGATCAACGTTTTGTTTCCATGAAACCTAGGACACCTTGGATTTTTTTCTTTCTTTCTGAAGCCATCTCACCGGTTTCTTGCCCAGCCACAAGGGTGCTGTCTTTTATTGATTTCAATCCCCACCACCACCACCCAACCAACTCCCCAACTGGAAAAGGTAATTTAGGGCCCCGGTCACACGGCAAAGTTGCCGCGGGAGAGGCACGGATGGTGGGCGGGTTATCCGGGCACGATCACACCCCAACATCTGGGAAGTGGAGCGCACCTGTGGCTTACCGCCGACAATGCGAGTTTAAAAACTAGTACCTCCAAGGTACTAGTAAAC